GAAAGTTTATAACGTGAATCGTTCAACCGTACAAATTGTATTCGTTTAAACATTTTTTTTTTATACTCTCGACATATTCGTGTCATTTTCATTTTATAAATAGAATTTTACGATGCATTGAAATTAAACTGTATAATTTAGAAAATGGTTTACTGTTATGTAATAATTTTACAATTGCCCTGTGTTTATATAGGTATTTTTTAAATTGTATAACTATGTAAATTATCGCGCATGGTGCTATTACATAAGTCTATACGCGACACACAAATTCAAGCCAACAAAGTAAATACCTAGGTACCGATAATGTTAATGATATTAAAATATGTTATTGTGTACATACGTGTGGTATATTATTATCTATCGTTTCATGATTTTCTAATGGGAAGGGATGGGGTTAAACATTTTTAAGTAATTGAAAAGATAACGTTTATATTTGTTACGTTTATTGTATTCATTACATGCAAATAATTTATAAGTTTATAAAATTATAAACATAGCAATTTATGCGTTTTGTTTATTTTGATTATTTTATATTTAGTTGTACTTAACCCCAGGCTCCAGCGTCAATATTGAAATGGATTATATGCATTATTTTTGTGCTATATTATATCATAGTTTACCATAGTCCGTATAGTCGTATCCTTGATAACTTATTGATAATGTTGGGTCAATTTAATATTGGATTTAGTGACGTTTATGTAATCACAAATTATAACAATAATTAAAAATCCAACGAATAGAACAAAATTTATTGAAATATTAAATTTAATAAATTTATAATTATTAATTACAAAATGTAAAAATATGGATTGTTAAATATTATATACCTATTGATAATTTCCTTTTATGTCCTACGATGTTTCTTATACCTACCTACTTAGTTTTTTCTCTATAAAATCGATTAGGTACTCTAAAATCATCCATTTTCGATAAAGCCCGTACCATGTGTAGGTCCGAACACCTAACTGTATGCTTCTCGTATACAAAAAAATGTAAAAAAAACATGGTAAGTACATTTTTGTAAATTATTGTCGGTAACTTTCGGGTTTACTATTGTTCACCCTAACGTTACACATCTATAATTAATGAAAATAAAATAATTATATGATATTAAAATTAGTTATCATAATTTATGTAATGCAGGATCATTGGAAGCACATAATATATTTTAGTTCATAAAACTGTTACGACAATACATTTATTTTACAGCATGTTAAATAAATTATTTTGTAGTAACCAACACAATTTTTCACCAATTTAATTCCTTTTAAGCTCAAAAAAAAAAAATTGCCTTGTTTTTTCCCGAAATATATACTAGTATTGAATAAACTTTTTTAACTAAAAATAATTTAATTTGTAGTAAAATTATAGAATTGAATTATTATATTTATGATTATTGGGACAGTCGCCTTTTCTACAATGTTTATTGTACATTTTTTTTGTAAAGGCAATACACTGTGATAATACATTTTAATTTTTAATTATAATAACACGTGGCCTATAGTTAAGTTTTTATAAATTATCACGATAAAATTGGATTACTTATTTACTGGGTGATTTCATTCAATATTTTTAAACTAATGTTTTCAATTTTAATTACATACATCGAATTTATAATATAATATTATATGATGAAATTAAAAATACATTTAAACATCAATATTCCTCTAGCTTTCTGTAATTGTATAGTTTTCTTTTGAAATTAACCTTATACAATATAATTTTGATAGAAAAATTAAAATACGATTTAGGCTGCTGAAGCAGGTTATTATTAATATTAAGTACCCTAGCTTATATTGATTATTAATTATTAATTATTATGAGACATAATATAAATGTTACCTCAAAGGGAGTAGGACATCGTTTATAAATATATAATGTGCATATTTTAACGGCTACGTATTACAATCCCCCTCGTAAGTTGATTTTATGCAAATTGTACAGGGATGATATTACAACTATGATATTTATTAATATAATATATTATACTGTTAAGAGTTAATGAGTAATTAAAATTAGTGAATAATATAGATTTTTGGAAATCAAAATGCCCTGCTTATGATTTATTGCTGGCAGTGTCTACTATTAAGACATGTTATCACTAAAGCAAGTATGACTTGATTGATTTTCTATTATATTGTACGTAATACTATATCTATTTATAAATCCATTGTTATTATAAACATCACATTGTATATACACTGTACATGCATGTGCTAATTAAAGCATAATAATATACTGCATTTTTAGATTATTATTTTTAACGTAACTCCTTTAACCAACGTCTTTGGAATTTGGCCAAAATCAAATATTTTTTATCGTTATACCATCTAACTATAAATTAAAAACATGACCTAAAAAATTAATTTATTAATTACAAAATCAAACTATGAATACTTTTCTAATTAATATTAACGTATTTGATTTTTAATGACTGGCCGGTAATAGAAACGATTATCCGTGGGATTTTCTCATAGGGGTTCACTTGTAGATTCAATATCCAATAGTTTTGTTTAAGTGCCTACCTTTTAATTATTTAACTACTTTCGTGCACAATTGTAAGAAAACATGAAAATCGTATGGTTAAAAAAATCTCGAAAAAAATTATTATTATTATTATTATTGATATTTAAACGAACGCGGTGCGGGGTCAAATGTGCAATGTATGACGGACTGTGATGTTATCGATGCACTCTGCCAACGATTATGTTGCATTATAATTATACCACTGTCGATAATAATAATTATAATTTAGAATAATTTGCCTAATCAGTTATCTTTAATGGTAATATTATTAGTGTTTGTTAATGTCAGCTGTTATTTATTACGGTAATTATATTATATATTTTATAAACGATGCCAGCGATCGTAATATTATAATGCACGTGATGTACGCTATGAACGGCGATGTTTTCTTTTCCCACACGGTTTGAGATCGTATAAGGCAATAGTAAAATATTATGAAATAATAATATATTGTACTACGCATATTACGAGTAGTTTTTTAAATGCTTTAAGTTGGAAAGGAACCGGATAGGCGTTTTTTTCTTTTTATAACAGTTTTCTAAACGGTGAGGCGTTTTTTTTCTTTTCTAACGGTTGACGGCGGAAAGCCATTTTTCAATATTGAAGTCGAATTTCTTTTTTTAAACTTTTTTCGAATTTCCTAAGCAGGATATATTCTTAACGTTATATTGTTGTCAGGCTGTCAAAATAATTTTGTTTGAAAAAATGTTTAATGCTCTATTCGTTTGAGTGTGGTGTGTTTATATGTTTGTAGGGTGCGGTCTTTTATGTCCGATAAACCCCTCCTTGAAAAATACCCTTCAACTATTATGCTCTTATAATAAATTAATCTATAGACCGGAAAATGTAATATTAACATGCAGCTCTTGTTTAAAAATCGCTTGACTTAATAATCGTGTGTTTAAAACTCACTACGTTAAAGTACCACCATTTATGACTGAAATAGCTAAACGCACGTGGGATGAAAAAATAATATGTCATGCCAGACAGCTTTGAAGTTTTAAGTGTTTACGTGCATACAATTTATATTGGATTTTTTTCAATATATGAATATTTTTAAACGTGGTGGAGTGCGTAATTAATTATAATGCATTTTAATAGTCGTGTACCCATATAATATTATATCAAAGAATAATTCACTCGCTGTAGGTTGATGTTGCATTTTAAATAATTATTCTACCCTTACCCATGTCCATCCGTTGGTTGTAAAAATCAAAAACGTAATGCTGCGTATTGAGCGTCCAGTGACGGTCAAGTATTATAATTATTGTATATTTTATATTAGCATTAATTACTATCAGGTGATCGCCGCCATTACGATTCAAAAATGTTTTTGAATTTTAATACTGTACATATTATTATGAACGCTTGATTGATCTGCAGCAAGTGTAAAGTTATATACGATCCGTGAACAAAGCTTTAATAGTATTATGATAATGTGATGTTTAATCTTGTTGGTATTCTTGTATGACGCATATTAATATTAGAGTTGGTCTTCTTTGATGCTAAGTCCTTTTCTCTACCGTGTAATGCGAGACGCATTATAAATACTAGCCCCGATATGCTATTGAATCGTAATTAGTCTAACTTCACAGCTTCCATGACTTCGTTTGGTCGTTGAGTCGCGTCCTAACATCACCACCTCTCTAATTTCATTTCCAGTATTCGTTTAAGCTTATGTTAGATTATAGGCAGGGCTTTTCTTATACACAGAAAGTTGGACTATACGCCCTAACATCGTCACTTGTAAAATTATGACCAGATTCAAGTCGTAACTTGAGTACCCCATATTCTTGGACTGCAGAAATATTTTATTTTGTCTACTCATTTTATAAGTTAAACGGTTAATAAATACTAAAATACAATATTGAATATATTATATTATTTATATTACTAACTCAAAAACGAACTAATCTTTCCTCAAACAAACCTATTATCTTATTATTTTATCTAAATGTGGAACTGCATAGTCCAAGTAATTTATAAGGCGTAGTGAGAGATCACTACACAGCTTACACCTGTTAAATCAAATCTGGGATGCAAGTAGTAATATCCACCGATTCTAAGTTCCCTGCTTCCCACATCTAAAGCACTCTTATTATAACATAATAATATTATATATCTATTTTTATATAAACTATAATAATTGTCGGAATTGGTAAATTGGGTCCTAAATTACCTTAGGTATCTCGGTAAATTGGATGCTGGGAAAAAGGTAGTGGGTACGTTGGTAATTGAGTTCCGGAAAAAATTGTATTACATCCATTCCATTTTTTAATGTATAATCATCTTTATTGGAAGTCAAATTTTGTAATTATGGTATAAATTAAAATATATGTGTTTGACGTATGACGCAACGTTGCAACAACACACCACACAAGCGTAGTGAGGGATCACTACGGTGCGAGACTATCAGTTAAACTACATAGTTCATCTTAAATATTTTTTTACATGAGTAATATTTTTTTTCACAGGCTGCAATCTTACAGCACACGGCCGACTATATATACCAGCTGGAGCAGGAGAAGACGAGACTTCTGTCGCAAAACTGTCAGCTGAAGCGGCTAGTGAGCAAGCAAGAGGGCGAGCTGTTGAGCACGGCCAGCGTGCACAAGAAACGTAAAATCGACGACTCCACCGGTAAGTACGTCGCTGTGCGTCTGCATTGTGGGATGGGTGGGGAGCGACGAGAGTCCGCGACGGGCGGTTTTGTCTCGTTGCGGAGCGGTGAAGCGGAGAGGGTCACCGCTGCGCGGCAAGGTGGCAGCACCTGCCGGTTATTACGTTTATATTTTTACATTCTTCTCTTTTCCGCCGCGCCGTTTAAATTGCGTATAATATTATTATCGTCATACAGATGCTGCACTCACGCACTTACTCGTTTACTATACTCTGCAATGTGAGTGTGGCGGACTCGCAGGTTTCTACACGGGAAAAATGGCATTATCCCTATTTTGTAGCGTGCGTTGGATCTCGCTTATTATTATTGTATATAATATTATATGGGTACCTATTTGAGGCAGGGGGAGAGTGAGCTAAGGACGGAGACCACTACGACACAGCATGAGCCAGGTGTTTTTATTGTTATTATATTTTATTTTACGTTTTTTCCCCTCGAGTATTATTGTGTTTTCCTCGTTTTCCGCCGTGTCGTGTTATATAATTTATAACCTATATGTATATGACGATGGGCTACAGGCAGTGTATAGGTACTATGCGTCTGTACGGTGCTCATGTAATGTGTATTCCATTCATCCGTCAAAAGAGAAAACAATAATGGAATACATAAAACCCCGAAACAAAACAAAAATTCCTAATGTGACCCGATGGAGTGCGATGGTTGTAATGATTTTTTTTGTCGTTTTTGTATAGGTGTGGTGATTTTGAACACTAACGTTGACGGTGATCATCGCAGCGGCGCGTTATCTCCTGATAATATCCAAGTGATCGGCACCTCATCAGGTACCTAATATTATAATATATTATGTGCATCCTATCTCCTAACGCGCTGTTCGTGTCATTACCGCCTTAGGCTCCTTATTTATCGTCGATCCTCATTTATCACCATCGTCGTACCGCCCCTGTAATTTAAGTCGTCATCCGCAAATAAAGGGCGGACATTTGGTTGAACTTTGGGGTGGTAGAAGATTGGCTAGTATTATGCAAAGTTAAATGACGCACTTATTCATATAATATTCATCACAAAGCACTAATCAATAAAATCACAAATAATTGAAGAAAAAATTTTCATAATTTAATAAGTACACAACAGTAGTGATACACTCGAACAGGCGGATAAAATATTTTTGTATATCCAATAAGCAACATTGCATAATATTATTGTTCTAATGATCAAAAGTCTATTAGTATCTATAAGTATATCGAAAATATTCTATCTTCTTGAAATTTGGTAGTAACTGGTGTCTGGTGGTGTAAGATGCAACTATGCAACCCTGATATAAATCTAGATGTCACTATTTTGATATTACTATGTGATCTGATTGACGATATTCTAGATAAACGGATATTTATAGGTAGTATTATTATCGGGGATCTCGTTATTTTAATAATTGGCCAGTCAATAATATAAATATACATCCTACTAATTGGAAAATAATATTTGGTTTGGTTTTTCTCATTGTTATTGTGATAATAGTTCACAAAATCGATGACTGGGGAATTTAGTAGTTTTTTTTGAGTTACCTTTCCCCACTCATCCATCAACGATGTCCGCCTTCGTACTTGCAACGTTCTCGTAACCCCGCCCCTTCCGCTGTCACCATAATAGTACAGTGACGGTTCTATGTGTAAATACGTAGTAGCTCTATTATCCACCATAGTCGTCAAAACATAAATAAAAATGATTTCATAATGTATAATATAGGTATGAATTGTGTAGCACATGAAATTACTTCTCATGCACCTATCTACGGAAAAAAGCGGGATGTTATGTGTGTACGCAAAATGTTTTCTCCCTCCCCATCCTTAAGGACTTGTCAAGAACCGCCCCTGTAATGATATAATATTATGTCATGTCGCCGCCGCCGCCGTTCTGATATTATAACAACGACTAACGGGGCAGATGCGCTTAGCGTGTCTCCGTTGTCTGGGTAGGTGAATTATATTATGTCTATTTATTGTATATTTGTATCTCGTGTCCGATCGGTTGGCGTTTTTCTTTTCGACGTTATGTATGTATGGTTTTTTCCGGAATATTCGTTTTGTCTTGTGCTCTGCGCCGAGCAAATTATGATGTTTCATACAATATTGGAATACATTTAAATATAGTAACTCGCTGTTATAAAAAAATGGATACATTCGAATTTGTTTGAACAGTAACGGCCGTTGTGTAAAGATGTCCGGCATTGCTGTGTACGCAGTGTTGTAAATAAAAGAACTCGCGTGCAGCTGCAGCTGTTAACAATAATTATTGAAAACTTGCACATAACCCAAAATTATTATTAAACAACGAAATATGGTTGAAAATAGTTTAAGTATTTGGTATTCTTTTTTCAATTTATTTTGAAAAATTAGTATTGTGTTTTCTGATAATACATTAAAAATTTTACGATAATATAGATATTATAATATAGGATAATATAGTTTGTTGTAATTATCTCTTTTTTTTATACTCCTATACTGTTTAGTTACAATTCGATATCAAAGTATAAAATATAAGTAATGACTAACGCGTAGTTCTACGAATATGTACTACACTCAATATGCTTGCCTATTTATCAAATATTAATAACGACTTATTGAGGTAGATTATACTTCTAATGTTTCAAACAGAAAAGTATGAGTTAATATTTTTTAATAAAAAATTGTTTTCATTGTTTAACTCTTAACATAAAACAAATACATACCTACATAATATAAATGTTTAATTATTTCGACCTACAAGTCTTTCATACACGAAAATCGTTAAATTTAGTGACTGAGTATAGTAAAATTGCTTGATTTTACAATTAAATTAAAATGAAAAGGTTGTTATTATCGAGGTGTATCTAGCTTAATATCGTCTTTAACCTACAATATTTTTTTTGCCTTAACAATGTTGGCCATTGATGACTGATCATATAATTACAAATATACCATACTTTTTATAATTACTAATCGGTTCAAATGTACGACTCATAATATAATTATATTAACACATACGTATTACATTAATCTGCGAAGTTGTGACCCATATGGAAAAACATAAAATATAGTTGTTTGATATGAACTTGAGTTCAAACCAATGTACTAAGGTATTGTTTGGGTTCAAGCTATCAGAGATTATACCTATCCTCTGCCACTCTGTGTTCTGTGAGAATATGTTTAACAGACAGTAGAACTATAATAGGCATTATTTGTGATGATAATATGCGTTTGTGTCTTAGCATTTTGATCTATCTTGTAAACATTAATCATTTTTCTAGATTTTGTACACAATTCCTATTTTGTGTCGTATACCTAATTAGGTTTAAAATAATACAGTTACAATAAGTATAAAGTAAATTCAAATTAATTCATCTTACCAAGTTACGAATCATTTAAAATTCAAACAGTTATCAAAATATGTAAATAATGTTGCCATGATAAATGGTTATTGTTTAAAATAGTTATACGTTTTTGTGTACAGTTAAACAAAACCATCATATTTTTCTGTGTTAAATTTAGAGTGATAATATTCAAAATCACTTCTTACTATTACTAAATAAACTGCAAATATAGCGAGTACATTAAAATAAAGGGGGTGTCTTAAATAACTATTAAATTGCGTTGTGTACTTATATATACATTTTTTTTTAACGTGGTTTATTGTACTTATTCTGTTTTATACGTCTGGGTTACGATTGTTTAATGTTTATGTATAATAATATTATGTGTGGTACATTTTGATTTATGACACATAATAACGGGAACTAGGAAGTTGATGTTGGTGCATTTAAATAATTGCTTACAAAGCGATTAGATTACATTTTTAAGTTAAATATTTCGAACTAAATTACGCGTGTTATTATTTATATGTATAGCTCTTATAGTGAATCCATATTCCATAACATGGTTCAGTGACACATGACAAGACATTTTATACATTTTTGTTTGTTTGTAATATTCTTTTGGAAGTCAGCATAAATGTTTCCTTTATGAAAATCTACGAATAAGTTAATATGATATGTTAAAATAATATTATTTTTAGTTTCTGAGAGACGCCATATACGGTTTTATAATAAAGTGTTTTTTTAAGGATCTAGCTAGTTTGAACGTTGGCGTAGGTGGAAAGAGGTTGTCAAAAGTAAAAAATTCTCGGAATCCTCCAAAATAATCAGGAAAAACTAAAAAACAAGAGAATATTTACAATATTTCAAAAAAAAAAAAAAAATAAGTCAAGACTGATTTTTATTCTAAATCATATAACTTGAAAATATGACGTTCTACATGGTTTTTTATATTGAAAATACACATGCAGAATTTTTTATTTCTGTTCGAATTTCAAATTTTGACAAAATCTTAACAATTTGCAAATTATTTTGTAGTTAAAAATGCATAGGATTTTTAATTTTACAGCTTACAATCAATATTATTTACACTAATTTTAATTTATCTACAAGTAACCACGCCGTTTTACAGTACAAAAGTATTGACTCAAGAGTAAATAATAATTAATAATACATTCGATTATTTTAAATTAGTGTAACCTTTTATATTTCTAATAGAAAAATAAATTAGGTTGTAATATAATTTGTAATAAATAGATGCTGATACGTGTGACACACTATGTCTACGCTCAAAATCGTCTTTTTGTATGCAATGATTTGGAGATTGATAAAAATATTTCACTTGCATTTCAGATAGGTACCTAACTATCCAAATGACTAATGGTAGGTTTCAAGGAATTTCTATAGTTTAATTCTTCATCTTAGTTCGAAACACTTCTGTTAGTTTTTATTTATTATTTAACCATCAAAGAAGATAAAAACCTTTGATTGGATCAATTGTATTGACCTATATGCTAGTACAAGTTTGTAACAGCCAATTAATCTGTGATTCATTATCTTTCATTGATGCAAACGCAGAATATAGTTGATATATTTTATAAATTATCTGGACGAACATTTTTTTCCTGATTAGTTTGTTTACTTTAACACTTCTGGTCCTTAAATAATGTATATTACGTAATAAGTAAAAATGCGCATTAACGGAGGCGTTTGCTGTAAAAAACAAGAAATTATACAAACAATCTAGTTGATGTTTTACCTTGTTTGACGTTTGTTTATTAATAACAATTTATATTTTAAGGTTTAGAAGACGGAGGACTGATGATCGACGAGGTAGCCGAATTAAGAGCTCAATTAGAACGAGAGCAAAGTTTACGTGTAGAGTTAGAAGAGCAAGTGAAAGTGTATTCAGCCCGTTTAGGCGAAGTGTTTGTGGACCCAAAATCTACCACAGACAACACCCAGACTACCATCCAATACCATCATAATACAAACACGGTAAGATGATCATTCAATTTTAGTTGTTGTCTTTTAAGAAATTCATTTAACAAAACAATTTTTTTTATATTCCAGTGTGTGGTTGGCGAGGAAGCTGGTATGGAGATTATCGAAGTGAACGAGTCTGACAATCTGGTAATCCAGCGAGAGCCAGAAGAAGATATTCCACTGGTTAAGACTGAGATCACCGATGCACCTGAAGATGATCGATTGAATCCAGTCAAAGAAGAGCCAGTTCCACAGCAGCAGCAAGTACTGCCGTCCGCGCGTGTTTACCTCACCAGTACCTCCAGACAAAATTTGGAGACTATTGTCGAAGCGATTAGACACCTAGAGGGTGATCACCTTTTTAGTGATGATCATCAGGAAGCACCCCTTGCGCTGACCAAACACGCGGCGACTAGCAATCAGAAATTGCTGAAGGTAAGTTTTGTTTAGAACATGCTTTCAAACTTGAATTGCTGTATATTTAACATACATTTCTTTTTATAGGTGGAAATGAATCCTTTCCTCCAGTTCCACAGTGGTTCTCAGACTCCTCAGGGTACAACGGTGGTAACATCAAATAGTCCCGTACGGCCGTCCAGACCTGGTGTTATTGTTGGCAAACAAGCTTCGTGACTTCATTAATAAAGGTGGTTGTACAGTTTATGTTACTACCAACCCTCATTTCTCTTCAATATCTTCTTAAAAAAAATTCTGAAACACTATCTTGTATAAGAAAGTTTATACTGTTTCAGATTTCTATACAATTTCCCGATACATGTTATATGTTATTATACTCAATTGGATATGACTTATGTTTATACATATTTAATACATTTATGTTAATGAACATTTTACTATTGTAAATACTAATTAGAATATTTACAAACATATTAGTTCTCATGATGCCACAAGTGAATACCGTTTATACAATAATGTTTTGGGCTTCTTATATTAAATGTGTCTGATAGCAAATTACAATGTTTTAATATAAATTGTTTGACAAATAATAGCTATTAGCTATTATTATAATTATGTTCAATGTTTAAAGATTTTGACTACCAATTGTGTTTCCATAAGTCATTTTTCTTTTACATTTATTCTATATTTGTATAATTTTGCATACAATTTTTTTTATATATATTATTATGTATATATTAAGATTTTTTGTTGAAAAATGTTTTATGAATTTTCAGTTTGCAATATATTGTTATATTTAACATTTAACCTCAACTATTTGCAATATAAAGTATACGCAGTAATAGCAATAGAAATTCTTACATTTTTTTAATTTACTATTGTTATTTAAATATTATTACTTAAAATGTAATGAATAGGATAAAATATTTTTTTTTAATTTATTAATTTATTATTATTATTTTTTTTTTAGAATATAGTTTTCTTGTTATATTTGTCTTTATAAAATCTTAAAACGCCCTTTTTTATTTGTATACAAAAAAATCGGTGCTATTGATTTTGGGTTTTTATTTATGTAATTTGTTTGTCGTATTATTCAAATTCATTCAATTTACGTGGATTGAGCGATAATGTTGCTTGCGTGGTGTACTTGTGTCCTGGGGGTCACAGTGTATAATATGTTCCTCGGTCTTCTTATATTTTGAATGTAGGTAATGAAATTATCAATGGCCAGTTATTGAACATTTAGCAAAATTTAATGTTGTTTTTCTTCTTATTATGGATACAATAATTTTTGTTATAATATTCAGATCCAGTATTCTTGCTTTGTTATGTCTAAACAAAAAGTTATAAAAAAAGGAAAAAAAATAATAATAATAAAAAATAATTAGTGTATTTATTGTATTTATATACACCTTCAAATATTTAATTATATAAATTTAAAAATTAAATACAAGGAAAAATAATTGTTGTTTTTCATATTTAGCATATTACTATTAACTTAATATAATTGTATTATTATTATTATTATTATAATTAATTAGGTATTATTTTGTATAAAAGGAAGAGATTTGGAGTGAAAAAATATTATTAAGTAAATGTTGTACGCCATTATCATAATCATTTTATTAATATTAAGATTTTTGGGAATTGGAGACTGATAAAATCAATTCTTTTTGAGTTTAGAAACTCGTTTTAAGCAAAATTAAATAAAATTCCTATATTGAAAAAAATGTACCCTTAATAAGTTTTAGTGTGTACTCTGTTAAGTTACAAATTATTAAACTATAAAAAAATTGAAAATTTAAACAAATTAGTTAAAGTAAAATTCATCAGTTTTTATATTTAAGAATAGACAATTAAAACATTTGCCAGAGAATATTGAAATTTTCCCTTTTTGTTTGTCATTTTTCTTAGGTGTTTAGGACAACATTTTTACTGTAATCTGTTTGTACATGTTTGATTAAATTAATATTTTTCTTTTTCATTACGTTTAGGATTTATATTGTTGGTTTTTATGTTTTTCTTTTTCATATATTTTTTTTTCTTATTATAGCTAACAAAACATCTTTGCTGAAAGTATCTTAATTATATATACATTATGAATATAATTTATGTATTTTATACAGCTATACATAATATATATATAATTATATGTAAATCTATATATAATTATTTATTCTGTACATACTTCTTATTGACTTAAATTATTATTATACAAATATTATTTATTTGCTTTTAAATTAATTGTCCCATTGTTTGCATTTTTTCCGCACGAAGACGATAGTTTGCTGCTCAGGTCTCTTGCGCGCATTCTTTCAACATAGCGATTGTGAATGCGTTTCATTTCCAATATCTCTTTCATTTGCTCCTTGTCTTCATCCTACATACATTAAATGTTTTAAAAAATAAAATTAATACCTTAAAATATTGCCTGTAAGAAAAAAAATACTAAATACCGGCCTATTCGACCTATTACTAATAAGATACTACTACTCTACTATTAGTACTATATCCATTTTAGAATCTCCTGTGAACCATATATTGTAGTAATCTATGTGTTGGTGCGGACAACTGAAAAATCCAATTGCTGTATATTTATTATATTGTTTATGTAATTGTGTTTATACTCTTTACTGTGTTTTGTACTGTAATTTTATTATTATTATTATTATTATTATTATTATTATTATTATTATTATTATTATTTTTTTTTTTTTGTTTGTTTTATTTTTCGATCTCGTGACTGTAACAATACAGTTGAAAATATTTAATAATTTTCATCATTTTTATTTATTTTGTATTTTTTTATACATATATAGCTTGTCATACATTTGTTTAATATTATAAACAAATGTTTGATATTCAACTAAATTGTTGTGTATAATGTGCGTGTACTACCTATACACACATCATTATGCACATTCTAATGGCATCAGAGATTATACTATGCAACCTTCTCGTATCCTACTAAATTGTGCACAAAGATAAGTTGATCAAGAAATATACCTATTACCTACTAATATGAATGTGTATAAGGTATACATAAGTGGTAAAATTTCAATTGATTGTCATTTTTAAATTTTTCATTAGAAGAATGTTTGGGGTCTCTGATGCCAATTATAACCCAAAATATTTTTTCCTACTTCCTCATCTATTTGCATTTAGGTTTGTTTTAATGTTTGTGTTAACTTACTTACCTGGTAAAGGCTATATTCTGGATTGAGAAATTCAATAAAAATACTCAATTTGGACAGTTGACATATACAATACTGAATGCGTCAATGAACCCATTACACAACTGATTACCTATTCTTAAAATGGGTTAATACTGTGTACACCATACAGTTGTCAATTTGTAGGATCAATATAATTTGGTTTTGTTCACATTATTATCCACACATACACACAACATACACTAATGTCTTGTTATATCAACTTGACATAATTTTTTTATAGTTGCTTATGTTTTAAAATTATGATACATTTTATAGTTTTTAGACAACAGAGTATTGTATTTATGAATGGTTGGTTCAGCCACTCTTTGTAAGCTGAAAGTTTTTGTTTAAAATGTGAACAAGTTCATTATTTTCTGTATTAACTTGTTACATCCAAATTCATAATTAAATAATTAATAAACTTACAAGTTTATTTTTATTTGATAAAATAGGAACCTTTATAATATAATAAATCAGATTTTTGTTGACATAATCAGTCTATATAAAAAGTAAGAGCTGGCTTAAACCCCTCTTTTAGTAGTTTTAAACTAATATCACTAATAGTTAATAAATAATAACTATAATGTCTTGAATCGGTCAAATTAATTTATTATTGTATACATCCCGCAGGTGTCAATCTGTCAGAGGAAAACGATAAAGAATAACTAACTAGGTACTAAAAATATCGTTGGATGTAGAAGTGTAATGCAATTAAATCTATCACTATTTTGGTTGATCAAATGGTTGATTAAATATTTACTTTTATGTTTTTATATTCTTATTAGAACAAAATAAATGTATTTATTAATAATTCATTTAAAGAAAAAAATAACTTAAGGTAAATTTCAAATTCATAAAAAATATTTTTAGAAGTTACTGTAAATACCTGATTACTATTAACATTCATATTTCAATAACAATAGGTAGTACATAAAACATTTAAATTACAATTAAAAATAATGAAGTTATTATTTATGTTTTAGATTTGAAAATAAATATTTTATTCATGCTACCAGTGAAATGTAGCTGTCAGAAATAATTATTACCATATAGGTACAGGTTACCTAACAAACAACAAATGCATAGGTACACCAGTTTATTTTTTCTAGATGGACTAATTTTCGAAATAAGACAAAATACATTTCCAAACTCGTCAGCTCGGTTTTGACGCTATTTTTTTGTTTTCGGGGGGGGGGGGGCTTTGGAATTATATCAGGGGACAAACCCTCGTAATCGATTGCCACCTATGTATGATGCATATGGAATACTTATACCGGTGTATAGGTACTAGACAAGGTACCTACAATTAACGCGTTTTAATTTTAGGGGAATAACCTTACCGTCTGATTGAGTCGCAACACCAACGCCCTCCGACCATCTGACATCGGTTGCGAGTAGTACATGAGCTTTTTGAGCCTCTGTGACGGGCTGACACCTCTCTCTACCACCAGTACGATCCGAGCCCACTGAAAATATCGCGATAACGCAACATTAAAATATTGCAATCAATATTCTATGTTGATCCTTGATTATTATACAATAGGTAAACATCAACATTACTGTTATGCAGTGTGTTACCTTTTACCTACCTATACCTATGTATGCTTATAATATTTTAAAAATAGTACATTAAATCGGTGTTAATGGAAGGTGTTTTGTTCATCATACACAAACAATTACCGAAGCAGCCGCGTTGAAAAATTAAAAATGCTTTACCTATTGTAAGTATTTTATTTTCATTTCATGTAAATCCCTATTTTTTCCCCTATCATTTCGAAAAGTACTGAGAATTTTTAATTTCGACTTCCCAAAAGCGTCAGTTGGATTTACAGTCCAACCATAAAAGATATTGAAGTTGGCACTAAGCATTTTATAATCTATAAAGTATACATCTTGTGTGACGTGTGTATAGTATATAGGTAATATATACTATACATCTTGTGTGACGTGTGTATAGTATATAGGTAATATATACATGTACAAGAAAAAATCATACATCATTCAACCATTGTAAAATCAATACATTCGTTGCCCCGATCAGAATCTAAAATACAAACGAAAAAAATAAATTTCTAGTCTTAACCAATATCAAAGTGACAAGAAATGTTCAATTTTACATGGATTTGAATAGTAAAAAAATAAATGATGTTAATTTCAATTCACTAATATAATGTTATTGTAGTGGAAGTTAGAAAAAAATTAAAGCTGTCTTAATTAGTGTTTGCTATAACGGAATTAATTAAAATAATAACTAACAATCAGGAAGAGACACGTTCTGGATAAAATGACCTTTTGTAGATAAAATCAGTTTCAATGTTCAGCAAAAAATTCTACTAATTAATAGGTCGACGTTTTTCTTTTCTCCGAATTAACTTGACAAATATTTGAGAACATGTCTTTAAAAAATTTAAAAGATATATATATATATATAGGTACATCGAAGCAAATAAAAAGATACTCTTTTACACGATATTTCGACTTAAGAACGATTAATGATTATTTTCTGTTAACGAAGTAGGACTTAGCCACGTAGGTAATGTGTAGAGGGGTCCATGCGGTCTGATTTAAAAATGAATAGGTAGACAAATAAATGGAAATAATGAAAATGACAATGGAAGGTGAATTAGATTTTGAACTAAAAATGTCCGGCATGGGGCACTATGCGGTATAGGTATTAGGTATAATAGGTATAACTAAGTTTGAATTGTATGCATATTTGATCTGGGCTCAACCCTACAACTAACGCGATCGCGAAAAGTTTACGCGGACGAGAACAGACGTGCTTGACAGCTGCTAACGTAAATACTATATAATAATATACCGTATCACGTGTAACTCAACACGTAAATGCTTGTGCTACATGGTGTTATGGTAACCTATATATTATTATACCACGGTAATGCACAGCAATTTAATCTGCACGTACGTCTTTTCGCGATGCTGTTCAGCCTGTTGTTCGCGACTTTAAAACGATTATAATAATATAGAGTTGGAAGACTTTATACATTTTGTAAGTCGTCAGTCGTAAGTGACTTCGAAAGAGAATAGGTACTTCATAATATAATATAGGTGATGGGAACATATTATTGTTATGCTTTAGTCTATTGTTATTACAATTGCATAACTTTACTATATTAATTATTTGCTTGTTTAAAATAATATTACATTATATTATAGGTAATCGTAGCGATATTCGGTGAAATGAATCATCATCGACGTTTCGACAAATCGTCAAATCCGCGAGTTTCATACCATGTCCATATTATAGTCTATAATACGTACCTACTAATTACTATTAATTATTATATATATGTGACTTAAATGCATAAATAAATTACTATAATTATAATTATTTTTTTAATAAATAATATCAATTATTTGCGGTGGTGGTGGTGGTGGTGGTGTCGCGGTAGTGGTAGTGAATCTGAAATCATGATCTGGGTATTGCTTTTTACCAGACATTAATGATAACCACTAAATTTTATTAATATCGTAACTATTCGTACCTTTAGGCTATAGTTATCATCATAAATCTCCAAACACAATGTTTAGTTGGTCATATACTTATATGTTAATGTTATAAATACAAATATCTACACCTATTTTACAACAATCACCAGTAAATAATATGGATTTCATAGTTCACTGGAGACTGGACAAACACAAAAATACATTATTACTTATTAACCGAGAATAACTTACATTTTTTAACTGAAAAATTAATTATGACAATGATATTGACATTAAAAAATGTTTATTATTTCAATATTATTTTTATACTTAGATTCACAACAACTTCGCCTGAACTAGGTACCTAAAAGTGATTATTTCCGAGGGTGGGCGGGTAGGTATACTAGTTGATAATATATTATATTGTATATAGCTGCATTGGCGAAGTTGGGTATAAATGTATAACTAAAGTTCGTCGTAATATTCGTTGACCGATTGATATTTTTCTTTTGCAAATTCGATTTAACATAATAATTATATTCTTCTCGGTGTATAGGTAACATGTATACAATGTACACATAACAATAATATAAAATAAACTATAATGCTTACTCATCGTAATATACCTAGTCGATATCTTGATTAAACAACAGTCAATTTCAACTGGCTTTGATTTAGAAACTTTCCCAACGGACAACAGTCATTAACGTTCCCTGAAAGTTTTCGTGTACATAACCGAAAATAATATACTTTGTAGGAAGTCGTACGAATCGAGTGCGGTGTAATTTGGCAGACTACCGTTATCTCGAAAACGTCTTATTTTATACATTTTAAAAATCAACTGCCACCTCCTATCACGTTATGTAGGTACCTGTATTAAATACGGTATACCTATACAGGTTACCTGACATGAAGTTACAAAGCTGTATACGGATAGGTGCAAATATGGCAATACATTTTATGGGAAGCAAGATATTCAGAACAACCGATTCTACCTACACCACTCATCAATCCTTATTTTTTAGACATACTGTAACCTCTCAATAATAAAAAAAATTAAGCGTTTTAGGACCCTTTGGAAGTTTCAATAAATAAAAAATACTTATGCTGATGAATATAAAAAGTTTTAACCGTTTTAGAATCTGAGTTTAGCGATGAATGTATTGATTTTATACAATAATGTATGTGTGTGTTTTTTTTGTGTGTCTGTCATCACCTTTTGGGACATGAAAAGTGCTTCGATGTTCTTCGACAGCATGCTAGGAAAGTGAATCTAGTTGGTACCTACTTGGTGGAGGGGAAGGGGGTCAAAAGTAAAAAAATCCCAATATTTTTCAAAATTGGCATACATATTTATACTATACTTATACATAATTGTAAAAATTTATATCAATATTTAGGTACATATTATATACATCCAACTCACTTGTCTCTGCCATTCGTTTCTGGTCTCGGCGATCTTTTGATAAGTGTTCCCCATCATGGCGATTAACATGTTCACCAGCAATATGGCCACGATCACCATGAAAACTATAAAGCAAAACTACGTTTCACGCGGCAAACGTAGTGTGTAGAAAAGAGTTAAAAAACACACGCACACACATTCACATACACACACACTGCACCCTTACACACACCCACGCACACATCAAAAATATATGTGTTGCACTGCAATAATAATACAGGGTGATTCACTGAACTTGATAGTCATTTCATCTATTTTCTACGTAAATGTTAGTGTTTTTAAAACAAATAAAAATGTTTTTATACATGGTTTGAACTACTTTGAAGTATTATTATTATAACAGTACATTTTTAAAGACGTTTTATTCATATTTTTTTTTTTACATTTTAGGCAAGCTTTTAATTTAATAATATCGATACCTAGCAGAATAGCTTACTAAATATTTCATGTTCATTACTATATTATAAGATATTATTAATTGTGTTTCACTAATAACCATTTAATATTGTAATAAATGAGCTTTATAAAATTACCAGAGTACCATGAAAAAGCCTAATACAGTAGTCTACTAATACATTTCTTATTAATTAAAAAATAAAAACTATTTATCTAATGTCCAATATTAGTAGGTAACAGGTAAGTAACTACCTCAAAAAGTACATCTAAGTTTTTGGCCTCTGGTTATGAAATCAAAAATATAGGTTATTATTAATAAAATAAAAATCCTGAGACCTCACCGCATAACCACATGTAGTGTGAAAATTGAAAAGGAGTAAAAATTAAAAATAAATAATTATAGATTTTTATAAATATGAATAATACATTTTTGTTTTTAACGAGATTTTAACACGAGTTTTATTATATCTCGACAATTATTATGAATATACAATAACCCAATGGTAAATTGTACTTAAAAGTTCAAACTATGAATTATGGTCTTATTGAATAAAAAAAAAGTTGGTTTAGAAAACGGATGTATAGTGAAGAAAAAATATTTAATGGATCACCCTGTATGTATAATGTGTGAAACACAAGTCAGTCGTTTTACGTGTACGCGGTGTCACGTGCTCGTATAATCACGGAAAATAAAAATGCATACATAATATATATATTTCCGCATAACAACACTCATTTTTTATTGTTATGCGCTAGACTGTATTATATGCTGTTTGTGTGTGTGCGTGCGTGCGTGCGTGCTTACATATTATTATAATATTATGTGTTGCGATCCTCGTTGCTTATACATGCACACCGCGGTGGCGTCGAAAAGTAATTTTTCTTCTTCTGGTGTTGTCTTTTTTTGTTCGAATCACGTCTGTATTATATGATTAATATATAAAGGGGAGTAAAATATAATATAGCATGGGGCATACGACTTCCCCGAAAGGAGACGGATAAAAAAAATGTCCACTCTACTACTACTACTACACACACACACACACACACACACACACACACACACACACACACACACACACACACACACACACACACACACACACACGAGGTTAGGTGAAGTTAGGTTAGGTGTATCGAATTTGGTAATAATAAACCGTTGGGTACCTAATTGTGGTGTATCGAAATAGTATTAAAATAGTGTACTCATTTCCGTTGCTATTTCACTGTTTTGTTATATAAATAATAATTATATATACTTGCAATTTGCAGCCATAGTGTACAGAGTGCACATTCATAAGTCGTAACAAAAAAAAAATCTAGATATTTATGAATGTTGCATATTACTATATTCTGAGTTCTGATCTACACATCGCCGATCAAATTTGAAGGTACTTTAAAGGTACGGGGAACGATGAGATTACTGTACACACCGTGGTCATGGGGTATTCACGGCGGTAACAAACTATAGTAACTATACGATCATCATCATTCGACATTTATCACAATATCACTAAGACTATGTATACTGTATATTATGAAAAAAGATTTTTTTAATATCATAAATTCATTAATAGGTACAACGACCAACTCAAATCAATTCAAGATCCGTAGGTTTGTAACATTTTAAGATATTGCTCTTATCTTTTGCATTATTAATTGTTGGTGAAAAAACTTTAAAGTTTTGAATTTTAGACGAAAATCTCTATTTTCAATTTTTTGGTTTATTAATCTGAAAGTTACACAGGATAAGAGGTATTATGGGTTTGATTAAACTAAATTGATCACACAAGTGCGCAGTAATCATAAATCGTAATAATGCTATTTATAATTGCAACTCAAAATCACAAAACGGACATTTTTTTCCTTCAAATCTGGAGAATTTATTTGGACATTAACTCAGGCGTGTAAATTAATCACCGATGGAGATAGCATCGTGTAACTTTTCGGAAGGAAAAATTGAACGAATCACTTAATAATGTAGGTTAATACACGTGCGCTCATAATATTGTTATAGTACCTGTTGTTAAACACGCTAGGAGGGATCGAGAAAAAAATGCCAAAACTGCGTAACGTACCTTTGCGACCAACGTGTGACTAGTCTTGTCGAACGCCGTGTAGTAATCTGTGAACGTGTTGACGGACATAAGGAACATCGCCATGATGGACTCGGTCGGCGTGGGCATCGGGTTCAGCACGGAATCGTCAATGCCCTCTGGTGTCAGCGGGTTGTCGTAAGATAGGAAAATCACGTAATAAGCTGCGGAATCAAACGTTTTTGTATATACAGCCACACTATAATACACATAGCAAGCCTTCGATTTCCGGTCCCAGCGATTGGATGCATTCCGTTTGCGCACATATTCCCGAAACGTGACTCATTCGCGCACTCATGTTTTTTTTATAAAAAGGACCGTTTGCGTGGGCTTAACCGTTTTCCGCCAGAGTGACCCTCGACCGTTATCATCATGACCGAAAAAAATGTATTTATTATTTTGAGACCCTAAACTTAAGCCCACCAAATTGTGATGGTTACGAATTTACGATATACGCGCCTTGCCCTCACCTCATCTCTTATAGTCACTAACTCATATCAAGATCAATGGTTTAGCGTTTGGTTAGGTGAATATAAATTGTTAATTGTTCTAATATGTGTTGTATTAAACATAATTGCAGTTAAAACGATCGATTCTATCCAGATTTATATTTTATGATACATACATATCGAATATAAGGGTAGTATTACCTACAATCCACATAATGTTTTATTCGAGTTTCCTGTAATCCCGATTTTCGGATTAAAATATAAATATATGATAATATAAGTGTGTGGTTGATTACAGCTATGTTGATTTTTATCCGATCTATTGGATGTATTGGATAAGGGGTGGGAGTGCGAAGACGCTATGGCTAGGATATAACCTACTCAGGCACATACTTTTCAAATTATATGAAAATATGTGAAATGTCACCGAAACAGGTGCATAGCCAGAAATCTCTAAGTTGTGGGTAATTTATGAAAATAACAGCCGTAATGGACAAAATAAAATATACTACCATTAATAGTACCTAGTTGTCAATACTATAATTTATGTTTTAAAAATATATTTTAATTAAATAATGTCTATTTTACAATACGATTTAATTGTCACCATTTTATTATATCTAATATAAATGTGAGAAATAAACACAGTCATAGAGGTGTGGGAGGGTGCCACAACACCCTCTCCTCACACTGCGCTACTGTGGTCGAAACACTTACAAATTATAATAACGATAACCCGCCGCCGCGTCATCGTATAGAGATGTACCTACTTACGCATATATTTTAATAATGATAATATTCTCACCTTGCGAGAACCCCATCACGAACACCATGTAAATGGAAACGAATCTCAGCAAGTCTCCCATCACCATCCTGTAGATCATCACCACGAACGGTCCGACGGTTTTGAAACCCCTGGCAGCGAGAAATATACGTTAAACGTACAGCACTCACTTATTAATAGTTATTAGACACTGAAGTATTGTATATCGATCACCATTAGTATGATTATAAATTATGCGCTTTGGTTGGTGCGAATACGTGTCATGTGTGTGTTTATTTGATACTTGTTACACCTTAAATATAGTCAGGAAACGGATTTGTACGCCAGCAATGATGTGATCTGGAGAGAGTTTAGGAAGTAGAGGGTAAATAATATAGTTTAGTAAAATATTTAAATTAAACTCGATTATTAAATACGTAAATATGGGGTTTTCCAAGCCTGATGTAGTAAAAACAGCTTAATAGTACTTGAAAAAAAAAATATTTCTATTTGCATATAAATCCGCTCCCTTCCTATGACATAATACATGGCTTTGTACCTGCAGAAGAACAAAAAGTACGGACAAGTGGTCAACATGATGATTACGGCTATTATGTCTTCGGCTTTGTCATAGCACGTCAGTCTCAGTGGTGGTATGGTCATCATGAGCAGGCACGAGAACAGAAACATCACTCTTGCCGGTGCTATGGCCTGTGTGGATGCACCAATTTATGATAAAAAGTATTTTCAATATTATTTTTTTTTTTTTGAATATCAAAAGTAAAATCATGTAAAAACATTATCAAACTTTGTGACTTAACTTATTAAAAAATTAACTTAGGTAAAGGGTAGGCGTAATTCAATTTTTCATCAAGACTATGTTAACTTAATGTTTATTGTTATTTATTTCTAATCAACATTAAATTATTTTCCCTCAAACAAAATGATTTGTTTAGTATACCTACACATATGTATTATACTATTTTATTATTTTAATAATTGAATACTAAATAATAGTATGTAATACTATTTACTATTTAGGTATTTAATATAATATAATATGTGTTTTACAAATCGATGAGGATGAGACAATTAGATGTTTTATGTCAACTAGTTAAGTTGAATTTTTTGAAAATATTAACTCCACAGAGGTAAATAAGTTACTTAATAATATTATACGAAAATAATATTGTTAAGTAAAGTTTTTCTCAAAGGAACTTAAGTTAACTGTCGAAAGTTCGTAATTGTTTTTCACTTCAACAATTTTGTTAAACCCCTATAGTAAAACAAAAATAATATTGAAAGTAAGCAAATTATTTTTATTACTATAGATATTAACAGAAGGATTGTGTATTGTACTATTGACGATGACTTTGTTGGTTACTTATATAGTTATATGTAATGTTAATATTTATAGGTTATTGCTTAATGGGAAAACGTCAATAATTTTTTTTTCAAATACATATTGACAACGAGTTTGTATACATGCGTATTACGAAGGTTCATAAACTGTATTTTTGTAATGATATGGATACCAAACATTTATTTGAAACAAATAATAATAAATCTTATCCACTAAAATCTTGTAGTCAGGGTAATTTATGGAAAAATGTCTTTAAACTTATTACGTATAACTTTTGAAGTGTATAACAACCATACTGGAATAACATTTTAATCAGTTTCGATCGATTTCACAGTTTTGCATACTGTTATTGTTCTCTTGACGCCGCCGTGGCACCACGCGAATATGTATATAGCAATATAACAACAGTTTTAGGTATAATATAGGCAGGTAGTCTCGTGACAAAACCCCCGTAATATCAGGTCAAGGGAATGTACTTATTATGCTAAACGAGTTAACACGATCTTATAATTTTTTTTTATTTATTTAAAAACCCTCGACACTGAGTGGTTTTTAAATCCATTAATCGCCTTCGTTTTATTTTAGCACTGTGATTTTATTATCTTTAAATCGCTTTCTCAACTGCAGCCGGCTCCATTCAAATTTAGCGCTTTAACAATACTCAATTTACTAGTTATTTATTATTGTTAGTTGTCTTTAAAAGGTTTAAATTAAGTATTATTTACGATAATCGAACATTAGTACATGGCTCCACCGTTTGAGTTTCTACGATTGCCTATATTAAAATTTAAAAGTATAATTTTTTCTAGTCATAAAATTAACAATTCCTGATAAACAATTAAGAGAATAAAAATTATAATAACCTTAAATTATACGATAAGTATAAAATTATTTATAAACAATGAGAATAGTTTTAAGTTATCAAATATCTTATAGTTTATACTCGTTGTCTCATTGTGCGGTTAGATGCGATAAAAATATCAAAAAACACAAAATTATTTTGTCAGTAAAAAGTTAAGTTTAAATATCGCCATTAATATTGTTTTAAAATGAATCATTCCTAGAAAACCTAATTGAATCACCAATCACGTTTTATTTTTGAACTAGATTTCAGGGAATTGGATATAGTGCGCTTGCTGTATTTCGGCTTAAGTATAACTTCGGACTCGTTTTAAGGGAAATTCTGGTCGAGTGTAATTTACTCGACTTTCACGGACCTGGATATGCAATCCACCCCAGGTGGTTTGAATACGTTACACTAGTGGCTTATTGTGCGTTTTGTGTAAGGAAAAAAAGTTGAAAGTTGAAAGTTGCGTATAAGCTGTTTAGTTGCAACATCACCCAACATATGTGTGGTTTTTTTTGGGGGGGGGGGGGAGTGCTTAAACCCCCTAATAATCTGCCAAGTTCTCTCAAATCAAGTAAGTATTAAGTAAGTGTACATTTTTTTTAAATAAATTTAAATAAATGCCATTGAAAAAAAATAACTTTAATTTTTTTTATGTAATAGGTATATTATTTTCAATAAATATTTTGGTAATATAAACACGGATGATAAAAATTGATATTTTTTTCATAGCAATTAATGTGGTGAGAGAATAATGTAACTAGACATTAAATTATTTAACCACATTTATGTGTGTCTGTCTACAGCTGTGTATTTTACTCCTTTTAGATATATAATAGGTTTATAGATATTAAATATAAATATTAAATCATACATAATTTATGTAAATAAATTTAGATTTATGTATCACAGTTTTGAAATTAAATCATTGAGGACTTGCCCTCGTCAAAAACTTGAGTTTTTTGATTTTTCCTATGATTATCACTTATCAGTTAACACGGGTAAGTAGGATGATCCTTGAAATTTTGGTGCAATATTAAACAGTGGATATTCAAATTCAACTAATGTAGTTATTAAGCATTAACACAATTATAGGTATATTACATAATATTATGATTACTGACCAGGTTTTCAATGAACATCTGGGAGCCCAAAAATCCAGCTTCTCTGACTGCGGCCAGTAGATAGAGGAAGGCTCCCACAAACATTCCCACTTCCGACCCCATTCTGATTAGATCATCAGTCGAATGCACTGCCATTAATCTGCACACCTTTTGTCTCTTGTTCCACCAAAATTTTCTCGACTGTTGACATTATTAATATAAGTTCACACACGTTTACAGTTTATAATTGAAAAATGTATTTCTGTAAAATAGTACTATATTATATATAGTACACGAAAGAAACATTCAAGTGATTCGAAATGAGTTATATGAATTTGATGTACCTATTATTGTTTGACCCACTGACTTTAAATTGTTGATTATCGTCTGTCAATGACGAAATAATACATATCAATAATCGAATGAATTATAAATCACTATCATAACGTTTGAACGTAAAAATTTGAAAATAATACACTGCATCTGTAGTAAAAATATTTACGAAAATAATATCATGTAGTACAAATTTGATAAAAAAATTGTATAACACCAACAATTTATCGAGAAAAAACTTATCAAATTATGCTTCGTGAGTTATTCGTTTGTGTTTTGTCAAGTATGTCACACATAAATATTTTGAAAATGATTATAAAGCTATATTTTCTTTACCACATAGTTTTCAAATATTAATCTAATGTTACATTAAAAGGTAAAAATCGGACTACCAAAAATCACACTGGAGAGTAAAATACTAAATTAATAATTTTTAAACCTTAAGCTAAAATTAAAAGTATATACTTACAATTCATCATGTTTTTCATTAATTTTTTAACTTAATAACTTAATGTACATTAAATTTACATTTAGTTAACAAGGTCTTAGTAAACATTTTTATTGAAGTTAACATAATTTATTTCATACAATCCAGTCTCAACGATTCGAATTTTCAGGAACTAATTCAAATAAATCTGTTTTTTGTATACCTATATCTTAAGTTCAATACAAAAGTACAACATTGGATTTTATCTCACACGAGTTACAAGCTTTTCTACATTTTTTATTGTTGTTTTAATATGTTATGATAAAAAATAAATAGTACTAGCAATATAATGTCAACTGCAGCTAAATCGTTGTACAACTGAAATTACTTTTTTTTCTAAACAACAGTAAGAATAAAAATGTTAAAAGGGATAAATATAAAAATATTGATACAGCTTGATAGTTGCATACTAGGTATCTTACTCATTTGCATTTCAAGAGTTTAAACGTGATACACTGCTATTGCAATAATAATAATATTTTTGACTTTTCTATGGCATGAATGTCTGCACTTACAATTTATACACATGTACTATTTTTTTATAATTTTTTCACCATTCATATGGTCCGGGCATAGTGACTTAATTTAAACGGGAAAAACAGGTTAAACATATCCTACAATCATTCAACCGTCACTGCAGTGCAGTGTTCTGATAATATAGTTATAAATAGGGTTATTATTACAAAAAATCGATAAATTACACATTGCTCATTGCATTTTTAATCAAAGCATATTTAACCTCGGCAATGTAGTTTTAAGATACCTAGTCAATTTTACATTGTTCAAAGCGGTGCATGCTAATAACTAATTGAGTCTCATTCAGTCATACATCTGCTGAAACTTTTACCGATAAAAGACATCTATTTATTTAATTTTAAACATCTAAAAATATAAAATATTACAGTTTTTTATCAAATTGATCAAATATTTTAAAATTAACATAAAAAGAAACAATCATTTTTATCTATACCTGTAATCACAGTCTTAAGTTTGTGAAAATGGGAAGAAAATTGTTTTTCTCACAAAGTTTTACGGGACTCAGTTGGTATCATAACATGGACTCAATTAGTATTGTATTTTAAATTGTATGGGACTCAATTAGTAGGTATATAAAAATAAACTCTATCCTCAATTCGTTGTAAAAGAATTTATTTGGACTCAGTTTGAATGCAGCAGCACCTTAAAGGAGGCAGGTGGGTACTCGTATTTCCTAGTTTCTAGTAATTAGCATAACATAAATTGAAATAATTATGCAATAACTTCACATGCATGTAATGTTAATGTATCATTATTTTCATTATTTTGTATGACATTTATCTCCGAAAATTCAACCTCAAATTAATTAAATACTGTATAATAGTAATATAATTAATTTTTTATATTCTGAGAATTTTTCAGTTAAATAGATAGTTAATTGATAAAATCATATATATATAGTATTCAGACTGTAAATCTTTTATAAATAAATATTATAGGTTTAGCTGGTAAATTAGTATTTACTATAGATCATTTTTACATTAGTGATTAATAATAAAAAGAAGATACTTTTTAGTATACATACTTTTGTATCCTTCTAGAGAACTTAAAATATCAGAATCATTACCTGTAACCGTATCTGCACGACATACGGTACTAGCATACAATATACAGTACCTAATCGTTTTTAACCTTTCATTTTTATACGCTGCGAAGACCTAAAATTAAAAATCCAGTACTCTATAAGTTTGAACAATGATAACATTATGGAAGCCAGATGTTTCAGAAAAATCTATACATACCTATCTATATTATATTGATGATGACTTTTCACGAAAATTTGAAATCTGTATATTATTTTAACCCCATAAACGTTTGTACAATTTCTTCGTTTAATTTATGGAGGGAGAAATGTCCCCTACACCGGTAGGAGGGGCTGGATATTTGTATCGTCAAAACGTGCATATATTTTGCCCTACCTACCCGCATATATTATTCTATGCATTCCTGCGCGCCAAGCGACGTGATCATGACTTATCGCAATGTGTATTATTATCATTATTATTATTATTATTATTATTGTACGGTGTCGCGCGTGCCGCCTACTTTGTTGTAGTTGTACGTGTAGTTGGTCTTGAACGTATGGTTGGCGGGATTCCACGTGCTCCTGTGTTTGCCCCTGTCCGAACCGGAACTCTTACCGTGCAAGCTTACGGTACCACTTCCACCACCACCTCCAGCACCGTCCTCGTAGATCAGTGGCGTACGGATGATACCGGTACCGTTGTTGGTTGTGGCGTTGTCATTGACCGTCGCCATCTCCGTGGTTACCACCGGCGTTTCGAATTCGGTCGGACCGCCACCGCCGATCATCATTTCGTCGTACATGACGTTGTCGGGCAACATCGACTCGTTGTCCATGAAGTCAAACGGCGTGGTGGCCACCGTGGTCGACGTCGAAGTGTAGTTGATTAATGGCGGCTTAAGACCAGTGGGTGGCGGCCCGGGACGCAAAACGAAGCACACCATGGATATGGAAAAGTAAAACGCGAACAAGATGAACTGCCTATAGAACCTAAACGAAAATATCAATTTTAGTTCACACTTGTCAGTCACTCTCGACAATCATTTTCAATGCGTAATATATTATTATTTCTCATAATTTGTTCGACAAACAGTTCACATTTTTTAAAATATAACTAAAATTAACAATTTTAATTTATTATAATATAATATTTTAAATATTGATGCGCAACGATTGGAAATTTAATACAAAATTCATCAGAAGTTGTTTCAAGTGGAGTTTAAAAAAAGCTTACTATAAGCCACATTGATCTATAATGAGTGTTTGAAATCGAAATTTTACAATATTCAACTATACAAATATATTTGGTTTTTTGTAGTAATTCACAATATATTAATAAATAATATAGAAACTTGAAATATTCAATTAGTTATTGTTTAAATTTAAATTTTCCATTTACCAACAACAAGTCGTTCAAAATATTTAGATTCCTAACTCAAAAAACGATCTATTAAGAGATAACTAAACCTAAAACAGTGTGCGCAGAGTAAACGAAACAAAGACCCTGCTGTGAATTTGGATTTAACAATCATTTCGGACGCGCGCCCCGCGGTCTTCTAATCAGTATTCGGGTTAGGTCATGCAAATTTAGTTAAACCGTTAAAATACAATTTGTCTCGTAATATCACTTCGGCTATTCGAACGCGCAGCACGCAAACTTAAATATCATTATATATGTGCGCATCTTCATCGCAAGTCTCACCTTGAGTAGACGACTACGGGTAGGTAATTCACACTGCATTTTACGTCAATCCCAAGATATTTTTATTACAAATTAATGGGCTACAGATAAATATATACGCTAAATGCACTACATTTATCCACGTGTACATGTGTAATTCATAGTAAGTAGTGTAATATGTATATTTACAAGACACCTCGTATCTTGCCGGAACGCATTGCAGTCGGCATTCGAAATCCCCATGTAGCCACTGTAAATTGGGGTGTGTGTGTGTGTGTGTGTGTGTGTGTGTGTGTGTGTGTGGGAGGGGACAGTGTGTGAACAACATGGTCCCGGGGCTATATCGCTGAGAAACGTTAATTATTTATATTTCACATGGTTTTTTTGTTATCTTATTATTTTCATTGATTTATATGGCTCACGGGACCCGTCTGTCTGTCGCACCGACGACACGCGATCGAAAAGAACAACACGAAGACGTGCACTAGTGCGCACATTATGTATTATGTATACTCACATACAACGTACCTATATATATATAAATACTACAGCGGGTCCAACATTTTTTCTCAGAAGAAGAAGCGGTTTAAAACGTAGCTTTTTTCAATGATATATAATATGACCGACGATAGCGGCTATGTATGGTTCGGAGATGATGATGTCCGAGCATAAATGGGTATTATATTATTGATTGCGCACGAGAGGTTTGCATTCGGGCGACCATTATTTACACGATATCCTCCCGCCTATACGCAGACCGGCAAAATATCTTCTTCGGCTTTACATTTGAATGAGCAGCTGTAATGTAAACGTTTGTACCGAATGTTATTCGATCCGCATGGCGGATACGTACGCCCGCGCACGGACAAATGCGAATTCGAATAATAATTCGAAAGTTATTCGCGATCGACCGTGTCGGCGCAAACCGCACGTATTCCACAACGATGGTCCGTGGGTGCGTATAAATACGGCGCACATTACGCGTATACTTGACTGTACCACGTTTGGTATAATCGTACCAAACGACCGCGTACGAGCAATCTGCTCTGCGTCTGCATAAAATAAGCGTGTACCGCGGTTTGGAGCAACGCGTATATTATATTATATGATGCGTGTACCACGGTTGTAATCAAGCGCCCGCGACGAATCGCGAGTTGGTCAGTTTGGTCGGAATGGCGGGCACGTTCGTACGTTTATCACCCGAATGTGCATAGTTTTAAAGAACCGGAAATAAAAAAAACACCGAACTCACGAGTTCCGGTCGTACTACAGCAGCGCGGAACTTTAATGAAACTTTCGAGGCGGCCGAGGGGACGGCAGGCGAGAAAACGTTTATATTATAATGACTACATTACCATGTTCACTTATACACATATGCCATTTATATATATATTGTGTGTACAGCGTGAGAGGGGAGACGGCGTTAGATCGATCGATAAAAATTCTCCGAAACAAAATAATATTGCAGTGAACTCTTATATATGTTTCGAAAATATATGGTACTGCAATGGGTTTCAAACACGGAGCTCGATGAAATATATTTTCTTACTAATCAATTTAAATGTGTTAATATTATTTGAACAGCGTAATTAAATTGATGTATAGTTGGTCAATTTTTATAAACATTTTTTCAAAGCAATTTCATTAAAAATAATAAAAATAAAATATAGTAAAACGAGATTGGTTTGGATTCTCAAGTCCATTTTCAAGCCATAAGGACTTAATGTTTAAAGATTATTCTTATGCCATTAAAAATGTGTCCTGTTAAAAAGGTGCCCCGTGGAGATGTAAACTTATGTTTTCAAAAAAACCATCTATTTTGCTGTTATTTTTTTTGTAACTGTTGATGGATCTAAATTGAAATTTGAACTAGTAGTTTTTTAAGTTGTAGAGATGTATATACTAAGAATAAAAGTCATTAATAATGGTTTTACGTAAAATGTAAAATAGATTAGATTCTTATACTTATTATAAACAAGACAATTTTTACAATTGAAATGTTTATAGATTTATAGAATTAATAATTACAAACATTATAAATTCCATGTATTATTATCTTCTTAGCCTATAGTCATAAGTGTATTATGCACAAAGCTAAATACCTAATAAAATAACTAGTTTTTATAATTCTGATTTAGGTACATAGCATTAAATCATTGTTTTAAGAAAATGATTTTTTGTTGACACTATTTTATTTATATTATACGGATAAGGATTATATAGGACCCAATAAATATCATTATCATATGTAATACACGACTACGTTGTCACATACAATATACATTATTATATATTTTTATCGTAGCTGCATAACATGTTGTGTTTGAACTCGTGTGAATCATATCATGTCATATTACATCGCAATAAATATATATTTTTATTTTATCACGAAACATTGGCTCAAAACTTTGGTCGTATCGGGCCACATTTGTCGGTTTGGACGTTTCTAAACCCGAAGTGTGCGCCGTGAGGATTTGAGGATATGGTTTCGAATCTAAATCTGCGTGGCACACACACACACACACACACACACACTATATTATGTGTACCGTATAATATCTATTGTAAATTGTAATACACGTTATGTACCTACACTAAAGCAGGGAAAAAATAAATTTCACTATAGGGCCTCAAGCCTGTTTTTTGCTTAAATTTGTGTCCGTTTCAAAATACAGGCGTTTCGCCAATATAGGTGAGCGCACATTATCATTATTATTATTATATTATTATTAATAATAATAGTAATAATAATAACAATAATAGTGCGTAAATACGAATCACGTTTTGTTTGTTCTACGACGGGTGAAACGTGACCGCAATACTTTTGCCCACGATTTATTGTATTATATATATGCAGGTTAAGAGGTGCCCGCACTTGCGGCTTACCGGAATTTCACGAAAGCGTTCCATTTAGCATTTAGCAGATCCACCAACACACCGTCCATCATCTCCAAGTGTTCTGGACTTTCCTTTAAAACACAACGGAAACTTTAATGTTTTTTATGAACCGGCTAACGGTGGCCGTATATATTATTATAATATTATTTAAACATTAAATTATTGTGTAGGGTGTTATTTATACATATAACAATCTTAATATTATTATAATGTAAAGTTACAACGCTACTGCTAATCGTCTTAATATTAATATTAATGTATTATTTGATATAAAATTATTATGTATGTATAGTCTGTCGACTCACGCCAAACACGACCAAGTTGAGCGCCGAGTTTCTGCTGATCTGCCCCGTGTCGTTGTCGATGGTGTCAATTTGGGTCAGGGGGTACGCGGCACAAGTGATACTGCCTAAACATAACGTACGCCGTCGTATTATCTAATATTTTTGGCAAATCACAAGGAAGCATTAAACATTCAAATACGTAAATAACTGGGGTAAGTGTAAGTATATTCAGGTCCTGCAGTCCTGTCCACACATTGACGGTTGACGGTATTCTCCCGCCTAGTTATAATGAACGTCTTTGGATACAACTTGAAACATATTATGCCACATACACAATATACACTCTAGGAGTTGTTGGTTGCACGTAACGTATGACACTAAATAACATACTATTACTTAAAATATTCAAATCTTTCATGTGAGTAATTGAATTCAGGGTATTTTAAAAATGATTATGCTGGTGGGTAAATGCGAATTTTGATCAAATTAAATAAGTTTAATGTTTTGATATTTCGGACTAGTGTAGTGTAATATTGTACATTTTAAATAGGCACGTACGACTCTCCGGTTCAAGCTTAAAAAGTTGAATACAATTGAACAATAATAAATGTAAATATATTCTAACGAGATGGTATTCCATAACTTAAATCATCCAGCCAGAGGGACAATATACTTAAAATCACGAATTTCCGTGTTTTACTTGACTAATATCTTATGAGTCTTAGTCGTTTAGAACCAGTATATCTTAAATAATTCAAAACAAGAAAATTGAAAATTAATATGTAATATATTACATGAACAGTGGCACAGTGCTATAGCCTATAACTCATGTCAATTGGACAGTTTAAAAATTATATTCTAAGCAGAAATGTACCTATATTGCCTATATATTGCGCCGGGTTACAGAATATTGTAAACAATGAACTTGGTCAGAATACAGGACCACTAGAAGAGTAGTTGGTAGTTCTGAATACGTCTTGCATTACTTCTTCGGATAGTTAGTACAATGTATATAATATTGTATTTATATACTTGACTGTTTTAATTGTTTTAAAAATCTACCTATACTGCTATAATTATATTATTTAACTTGTTCAAATAATCGGTGATAGTTAAGTGTCTAAGATGATAATTTATTTATAAGATAACCAAAATTGACTGTGTCAAATTGCACACAGTTTCTTTTTTTTACAAGTCTTATTAAAACTATTGCTTAAATACTTATATTATAATATAGGTATTATAAGCATAAACAGACTGAAATTATTCTAAATCTAAAAATAGTTTTACTATATTTTATGATACAACTATGGGTAATTTTTAAATTATCACAGTCTAGGGATTTGTATTTGTTTTTAAATTTATACTGAAAATCCAAATAAATGAATAAAAAAAGTGATTTTTAGTAATTGAGTCGAAATTCTCATTTTCCTAGCGTTGTGAAAGTGTACCTAATATATAATAGTATGTGTTCGTGGAGCTTAGCCAGAGTTTACTATATCGCTCACTCTGTATATACCCATGCATTTCTACAAACGTACATGCTATATTTATATAACTTATATATATATATATATATTATTTATACGAATCGAGCATATATAAATTATTATTTAACTACGTGTGTATATGTGTATATTGTATAGATAAATATTTATTTGTGTGATGTAATACGCGGGTGCTATGGTCCGTGCAAGCGATTATAGTTGGTTTTACCGATTTGCCAATAAATTTCCCGTTCGATTTTGAGTATGTGAAAGAACATTTGGATCCGAGCCAGTTTCGCGGCCAGCGTGAGTGGTGTCAAATTTTGCACGTTCCTAATGTTGAGCTCCGCCCCGATTTCGTAGGCCATGTCGAACGTCGACTGCCGGGAACACACGAGCAAACATATATTATTATTATAGAATGTCATTCGTCGGTCGATTAGGAGAGTTATAATAATATATTTCAATATATATATAGCAAGGCCTGGTTTAATACATGGAGATCCATTCTCTTCTATACGCTTTATTTTTTTTTTAAAAAAAAATAATAAGATCAGTTAATTACGAATGGGAGAGGAATGATAACAATGTTGAGCTTGCTTACGCATATGGCATTTTAATATTAGAACATACCAAAAACGAAATAGTTTTACCACAAACAAGCTATATTACAGTGTAGTAGCCGAATTGGCCTTTTGATCAACCAAAATAAAACCAAATTCATAGTAATATGTTGGTATGCGGTTAACAAGAGCCCCAAAAGTAGAACTCTACTCCTATGAGCAATACGTTTATATGATATTTAACATCTATGAATTAATAATATACTCGTATATATATTAACAATAACATGCGTAATGAAATACGGTTAAGAATAAGTGTTGTAGACAGATCCTAGCAATTTTTTCATAAACAAGATGTTTAGTTCTAAGATGTTCTAAATGTCGGTCTAAAGCAACAAAAGGAAAACTGCTCACTTGTTATCTAAAATGTGAAACTGACTTTATGCATTTTATTGTATAAATGTATAAGAGATGTATTGTTTTTTATTTCTATGGAAAGACACTAAAAGGAGAAATAATGGAAATTATCTTCATATCAGCGGCCAGCGCCCCTGTTCGCCAGCAGGTGTAACAAATCTGTCCCTCATAAGAATCCGTGAAAAATTCGAGTGTCTAAGCAGTTCTGTAGTCTTTTAGACTAAAAGTGTCCCATCTGGTAATTCCGTACAGTAAATAACGGTGACCGAGATCTATTTATTATTTAATACATCACATTATTATCATCACGAGTATGCGTGCGAAGTGCGCTCGTCATTTTTGCGAAATAGCTCCTCTCCTCGCCACTGCTAGACAGCTGAAGGATCCCCCGCCTCCTCTGTACAAACCATAAAATAATATATCGAAAATACTGGCACGTCCCGTCTTGGACCCATCCCCATCGTGAAGGAATTCTAAGTTATATATTTTTGTCGAGCTTTTTACATTATCCATTACATCCCGTTTTTCCCGGCGTGGCTAATATTTATTACACGTTTTGGACGATAGCAACGAAAATAATGTAGATGTAATATATTTGGTGCACGGTGTTGTCAATGTTTGGCCAACGAAAGAAAATTATTTTATGCCGTATATTGTCATATCACACATCGTATATACGCACTCTCATTATGCACCAGAATAACGATATTATGAGAACAATAATTTTTTTTATTCTTCAAAAAAATAATATTATCTCCATAACTACTATAACCAAATACACTAGATGTAGTACCATTCACCATGGGAAGTCTCTCAAACATACGAACAGATTCTTCTTGCTTGTTAACAGGTTGATTTTTACTGTTTTTAATCAGTATTATTTTTAACTTCACTCCTACACATTTTTTGCCCAAAATTCAAATTAATTTGATGTAGATAACACGAACGGCAATGATTTCAATGGATTTATTGGCTTATATGTGAAGGCGGCTTTAATAACATTTTTATTCTGTATAGTATTATAATCTGTAGACTGTAACCGATAACAACCATTTATACAAACAAGAAATATTAGATGTCTACCGTTCGTTGAAATCTAATTTCTTGTTTGAGCACCTATGGTTGCACCTATGAGCACCCGAATTACAGAAAATCCTTTCTATTGCACATATCGAGATGACGAGATCATTAGTGAAGCCACTATATTTTCACATTTAAAGTTCATATAACCATACGTTTTGTAGTTTTTGAGGAGTAGCGATTAAGCATTTTCATATAATATTGTGATTTTCACAAAATTCTTAACCTGTGTTTAGAATAATGAGTATTCTTACTTACAACAATAGATTCACTTCCACGCCATCTCCCTATATCCAGTTCGGTCTGGCTGTTTCGCTTGGTGAATTATATACATGGTGGTTATGGTCATGTTTCGTTCTCCTTGCATCACACACATCACACTCACAAACGTCACGATTAAAGATAGTATGGTCGCGGAACGGCCTATGATAACAACTACAATGCTCGAGGCAAATATATTCTCATCGAAAAATAGACGAGTCATTCGTATGTGTATCGAAACTATCCATCAGGTCTATGATTTACAAACATAATAAAACTACTCACTTATCATTGTTTGTTCCGCAATCATACTATCCTTAATCTTGACACACGTTAAACCATAGACCTTTAACTACTATATAAGTAATGTGTAAAACAACAGTATTAAGGGAGGTCTCGGTGGTAATACATCTCGCAGTGATGTAGGCTGTCTTGACAACAAAATAAAATAATCTATATATCGTTTACAAGAGTAGCTCAGTAACCGAAAAGCCCCCTCTATCTTTTGCCGATTTCCATTCTTTACATTACTTTTATGTACTCATTACTTAATCTAATTTGGGTGGTTTAGACCAATTATAAATTACAAGTTTAAAATGTATTTTATCCAATCATAATTATTAGTTACTATTTTATTTTTAGTAACCAAAGGCAACCTTATATTATAATCAAAGAAGTATTAGTTTTTAGCGATTTAATAAATCCCCGTGGGAGCTTCTCTTTAAAATGCGAATTCCACAAAATCCTGTATTATATGGCACCCATATACTCGTATATAGTAATAAGTACCTACATTGCCCCAAAATCTCAAATGAATAGGTTCAGTAGTTTCAGGTGTACGTTGATTACGAATCAGTCAGTGAATAAGGCAGTTGGGACTTCTCCTTGTATATATATATATATAAATATAAGTGTATAACTTATTATATTTTATGTGTGTTGCGAGATTTGTTTGGTGAGAATATAACACGCGATTTCGACCGAGTGTGGAAGAAAGTTTAATAATGGTTTTGATGTAGGTACATTTATAGTACGTACAGGGGTAGATATACAATATTTCTGAAAGTGAGTTTATAAAAACTCCATGATATTTTCGTATAAGTATTTGACGCGACTGAAATAAGTTTTTTGAACTGTATACACACACACAGTGAAGTGTTAATGCACGTGTTGCGCCTAGATTAAAAATTAAATCCATACAACGAATACGCCTGCTCTAGTATTATTAGCATCAGCCCGTTTGTCTCCACTTCTGAATTTAAGGACAACAACAACCACCTATATGTGAAAAATAAAACAACTATCGATCGTCGCTTGTATTTCCGCTGTCCATTGTTTGTGTTTTAACTTTATGCTAAGTCGGATTTCTGGTTATTTATTATCCACAGGTACCGTGCAATACATTTTACACGGCGTGGCCTCATGCGAAGAGGGTGCAGGATGATGTGCGGCGATATATTTTCGGTGCGCTGAAGGCTTTCAGTTTTTTTCGTCGTTGTTTATTCACACAGCGCATGTTACGACAGCGAGACGAAATACAAAATAATATAATGATTACGCTGATTGTGACGGCGTCGGCTTGGAGTGAAGGTTTTGTAGTATATGGTCGGCCGAGACAGGGATCGATGAAAAGCGCCAAGTGAAATGCGTCCTGTTTGGTCTCGTGGGAATTCGGACGCAATAAACACGCGCGGGACATAAGTCGGCCAAAAGTAGGCATATATATTATGAGTGAGAACCATTTCTGCAAAATTAATATTGACTGTTTCTGCCAAAAATTAAATAGGTTCGATTCCCGTTTCCGTCAAAAAAAGGTTTGGTAACCAATAGTTTTAATTTTATGCAATATGTTACGTGTCAAGTAATAATATAGAATAATTTATGTATGTATAATAGTCGTTTGGAATATTTAAATAGTGGCAAATACCGTACGATAATGTACAGCGCTACCTACGTCCTACTTCCCTTTCATTTCTTTAAACTCTCATTTAATGACTCTCCACTCTCCCCCCTTTGAACACTCCACAACAACCCGCGCGTTATCTGTAAAATTTTTAGTAGCGAAGCATGGATAAACCAGAGGGGAAGACAAATTAAAAAAAATTCACTTCACATTAGTAAACTGTAATATACTATTAATTATTATATAGGTTCCTAGGTGCATATCTGTAAGTATAATACAAACAATAACTTCACATTTCCTTCAAAAACCAAATATAAGGTTATGTGTAATTTGAAGAATCCATTTTACTTAAAATATTTGAAAAGTAATATTTATAACATAGGCGTATCACTACAAAATATAAAAGATACGAAGGAACGAAGGTACGTCAAGAGTTATTCTAATATGATCGAGATATGAGTTTTTTATTTTATTTAAAATGAGACTGAGATATATTTGAATGAAATTAAACTATAAGTACCTCATGTTATAATTATTATACTGTGAACTGTGAACTAACACATAACTTTACTTTAATCTAATACTTTACTGTGATATAATGTAAATTTTTTAAATCCAAATATTATTTATTTATAAAACACATTCCTGTTGGTATATTAGTTATTTAACAATAAGATCATTTTTTTTATTTTTGTGAATACACAATACACATATATGTCATTTGTCGTTACATTTTTACGCTGTTACAATGGTTCTAAAAAAATATTCAGCAGCTACATCTTTTCAAAAAACTAGATCTTTGCGGAAACGGCCGATGCGTAAACCTGGGAACCTGTTTGTTGGCGGAAAAGGGCCATGTCACCTTACATTTAGATACTAACCTATTATAACGTGATACAAAGATAGAATAGGTATATACGCATAAGTTGTTACCTATTGTATATTATTTCATTTATGATTGACTTACGATTTTTTCGTAAATTACGAGCATGTGCAGAACTGTATTGCCGTTGGTATCCTGGTTATTTGGATCGGCTCCTCTTGCCAACATCAAACGATAGCTCTCCTCCTGGCCGAGACATGCTGCAAATGACAGTGGATATTCACCCCAATACACGTACCTGCGATTTGGAAAACCGTTTATTTTGTGATAATATATATAGTGAGCGCGTATTGTGTTCGTACATGAAACAAGTGCATCGTGTGCTTTTGATTTTTAAGAGGCTGGTTAAAATAAGACTTTTATAAAAAAAACTTAGGCCCATACAAATATCGTATAGTAAAAAAAAGTTTTTTTTTTTTTAAAAATAATATGTATTGAGATTTAGATAATATAAGAGATTTGATAAGGGTGTCGTGTGAACGGTATTGTGGTGATTAACTCAACCCCTTAAATAGGTCGTTTACCCTTCGTAATTGGTGTCGGGACACAGGTTCACCCATTCATGGTCGAGAGAATCTGATCTGGAAGCCTTTTGATCTTCAGTGCTCATGAAGTTCCCGAAACACCGTTCGTTCAGGTCTGCCCCGCTGTCCATCAGTACCTTCACCATGGCCGGATCTTCGTTGACAATAGCCATGTGCAGCACGCTCTCTCCTGCATCAAGTAATAAAAAATTGTTTTAGGAATCTCAGTAGTGGTGTATAGTTTTTCTTCCATCCCGTGGTGGAAAAACATATTATAATAGGTTGGGTTATTAATGAATAGTGAAAAATCAATAATTGCAATCGTGGTGTTGGATATGTCATACCGCATGTTCGCCATGAGGCGTTATTTTGAAACTGGATATTTTACTGCCCACCCCGCACTCCTGATCTGTTGATTTTTGTTTATGATTTTTTTAACCTAAAATCATCGCGTGCGGCAACAACCCACACAACTTACAACATTTCGAGGAAGTTATTGAAAACGATGGAGTAGAGCAAATTCCAAAGCAGATGCTGAATAACAAAGTTTGCAGCTTCTTGGAGAGCATGTAACATGCTTTTCGGAATAAGGATAACATTTCCGCTACGTGATTTTCTGGTCATGTTAAATTTATATTTTTTTAATTTTCAAAGATAGTATTTATTTTGATACGAATAATGTTAAACCAAACCAAATAAATACTTCCCGAGTTACGTTTATTTAAAGTAATCTGTTCTACGTAACAGACCTTATATATTTTATTATTAATTCTTAATATTTTAAAATATTTAGAATTATTTGGTTTTGTAAATGGGGGATTTCTGGAAACGAGGAGCTTAAAGTTATGCTAATTCAAACATAATAATTTGTATCATTAATTTAATAAATGGTTCGATTGAACTATGGGTATGTTATAGTAATTTTTAGTTGGAAAGAAATTAATTAACTAGTGGACAAAGTCCTAATTTTTGATGCTTATACTTTATGCAATATAAATATTTTATCAAATTCGTTCAAATAGTTAAATACTTCGAAATTTAGTGCTTAACATTCAACTTAACAGCGATTATCTTTTTTAAATGGATATATTATTTTAATTTATTAATTACTTTAATTATGATTTATACTATTTATATTATGCGAGAAGTAATTTGGAACATACAAATTATTTTATAATTTTATATATATGTGTAATTATATAGAGCAAACAAAACTCCAAATCGATATTCCAAAAGTTTTAGATGCAAAAAAATTATTATAGAAATATTAATCAGCTAATTATTTATATTTTTACCTTTTCGAATGATTTTAATCGATATTAATCGTCCGATCATAACTCACCGTAGTACTCGTCAATCATGTAAATGTCATTTACGAGCTTTGGATAGAAATGCAACAGTCTTTTGGCCAAGTCTGCGTGTATAGACGTAGCGTTCAGCAAACATAGATGTAACGCCGTTTCGCCGACAGTGCCCCTTTCCTTCAGATCCCAGCACACCTCCCGGTACTGCACTTCCCCTGCGAGTGAAAAGTTTCCAAATAGTTTTTTGGGGGAATACGAAATGAGCCACAACAGACCGGTGCACTTACCCAGCTTTTCCAGTTCTTCGATGGTGGGAATGTCTTTTTCGATATCGTATTCATTGGCGTCTTCCATGTTCTTTAACGGTGGAAGCTGTGGGGTGGCAAACAAGTCGCATTAGTAACAGATATTATTATGGGCAGAGTTTTTGAGATCTCAGATGAATCCCAATAGTGAGATCCGATTGTGGGAGGGGGATATTAATATTCAACTGGAAAAATAAGAATAATAAAATTGACGAGGTTGCCAGCCAAATGCGTGTATGGTGAAAGACTCTTGCAATTATATTACGGCTAACTTATTTGAAAAGTTTTAACTGAGACGTTGTAGAAATGGAACAAACGCGGCCGAAAAGTACAAATGCCTGAAGATGAGCATTGTTCATTACATCGTAAAGTAATGCGATGTACAATACCAATACTATTTGTATTTCAAATTTGTATAGTTTTAGAAATAAAACAGATAATCGAATAGATTTATCTATACAATTTGTGCAACATTGTTGTCCATTTTTCGTTTTAATATTGAAAAATCTATATAATTATCTAGATCGACATAAAAGCCACTAAGGATTATTTTTATTTTGTAAACTTTTTTATATAAAATGATCACCTGTATTCGCTATAAAATATGTTAGTCAGGCATGGTTGATATTAATAATGTAAAGTCATATTATCACTATAAACCAGTACGGTACGGTGTGGTTTCATTTTAGTGTAAACACCAAAAAGGCAAAATTGTATTTACATAAAAAAAAGGTGCTGAATTCTACATCGACATTGTTTTACATATAATCAGAGAACTTTTTGGACATAATTTAACCCAAACTGTGTGCGTATTACCTTTGAAACGTTATAGTGGAATATTGTGTCTTTCCGTCCAATTACAAATGATAATTACATATTGAACACAAATTCATTTAGTCAGTTAAGTACATGGAAATGGTGACCGACTATTGAATTTTGTTTGATTTTAGGTTGTCGTGGGATTGACATAATATTATTATAATTATTACGATGAATTAATATTGATTGCAAGTCATAACCTAGCCAAAGTGGTAATTAAACTTTCGGGAATTCGGTAATATTTTATTATATAATTATTATTGATTATTATTATATCGTGGCATAGCATGACCACATAGCTTTAAATTAAAATAATATACATACATATTTTGGATTTTAATGGATATTTGAAGACGTGGTCAGTCGAGACATAATATTATACAATGTACGTATATTATTATTGGCAAATGGTAATATTATATTACATTTATTACTGCCGGATGCAGGTTGGTGCAATGGTTTATACCCAATAACCATACATATAATCGTACTACTACTTTTTATGAAATCGTAAGTCCCCTAATGCAATGTTATACTGCGTTCGGTAGGCCTGTTTCTACTTTACATATGGAAAATAAAGGCCGTTCATTTATTATTTATGGCACGCGTTTTAAATTTCAAACGAAATATAAATTACGTTTACTTTATTCGTCGACAGTGACGCTTTAATGGCGCATGTCTTCTCTTCCCTCCGCATTAATCTCGTGTTTTAATTTGTTATTCCATTGAGCAGTGTAAATTAGCATTCGGAAGTCGATTAATTTGTCGGAGGAGATAAAATAAAAAACAACAGTAAAACAAATAAAAAACTAAGAACGTTTATGCGGTATTTTTTTTGTTGCCATGTACACGTGTTGTATTATATCATTGTACAGAACACCCCGAACACAATATAATATATACGCGTGCCGAGCACAACACTCAGACAGTGTTCCCGAGCGACAGCCGCCGAAACTTTCGCTGTGATGTCAAACAGATAATTGAAATAATTATTATTACGAACCAAAATTTTGGGGAACTGCTTTCAACTCAATTAAATTCGTAATTTTCCAATTATGTAACGGTAGTGTGTTTGTCGTGTAAAACACATTTTATCGTAAATAATAACGCGCCATCGTCGTATTCTCGATAAACGCGCACTCACACACACACGCACACACACACACACACACACACACACACACACACACACACACACACACACACACACACACACACACACAAAAGAGCTATACGCTGTGCGTTTGTCTACTATTATGGGTACGGAACATCGTTTAAGCTCGTCACGGGCGGGAAATAACTTTTTCCCTGCGCCCTTGCCGATATAATAATATATAATATATACTATAGACATATTTAAATGCACATTGTGTAATATAATGTATATAGTGCGCCATTACCGAGGATATGATATTATAATATAATCCTTTGCGCAGAACGGCGAAACGTCCTCGAACGGCGCGTACAGTAACGCGTACATATTGAATATTATGTTGTACGCCCGCGAATTTATGCGCACGTCGTCGTGTGCGTAATATTATGCATGTGTGTACTCATTATGACTCCTCAGCGACCGTAATATTTAATATCGTATAACCGAATCGTTGGGCGTTTCACACCGATAGCAATATTTAAACGGCGCCGTGCGCTTCCGACGGTTTCCAGAGAACGACGCCATTATAATTATTATTGTTCATTGTCGAGCGCCGCGCTACACTGCGCGCGGAAACAACGAACGCGTTCGATATTACACATAATATTATGTAAATATGTAATATAATATACATACGAATACATTCGACTTGCGCGAGTGTCGCGTATTGTGTGCGATTTGAGTGTATATATTTAATAATATGTGTACGGGACATATCACGGAGGAGCGAATTTACGGGGACACACTACAGCCATACAACTTCTGGCGTGCCGATGGAATACCGAGTACTGTAGACGACACAGTGTCACAAAGTTAACTAAAAAAACCTGTTCAGTCGTCGACAGGCAGAGTCATCAGAAAAAATCCTGTCAATGAGGTGCAGACAAAATATAATATAGTGCCGAAAGTAGGCAAAACAAAGCAAGGATAAGCCCCTCCTTAAGTATAGGTCTATATATAAATCGTATCATTCATATCGATATTGATATAGGTAGTGGATCAGTTCGAGTACCCATAGGGACGTTTCTAACAAAAAACGGCAACGAAACGTCAAAGAAAGTAGAAGCGAAAATACAAGCTGGAAACAATGACGGTTCTTAATACGTACTAGCGAAGCTTTTATGACTCAATTTCTTTCAGGGAATTTTAAAAGAAACAACGCCGAACATCGCAGAAGCAATCAGAAACTACAATCATGGGCAGGACTTCACATTTGGGGCAACAAAAACCCATTACACCATACAGTACTGAAAAAGAATATGACAGGAAAATGCCATATTGGAAGACCTATTAGTTAGGTGGGATGACGTAGTCAAGAAATATGTGAAAAATCTAAGAGGAGGATCAGTTTGAAAGGAGAGAGATGTCGACCAGGGTGGATGAAAGGCTGGGTGTACAATGACATTGCTCTGGAGTGGCTTCTATGGCTCTATAACACCATTAATACCCCCCCCCCCCCAAAAAAAAAAAAAACAAACACTACTGTGTTGTGTGCTACAAAAGTTCGGCACAAAAGTCGATGCGCGGCGCTGGCCCCAAAAAAAAAAAAATACATAATAATATTGTAGGTAATATAGGCACAATAACCAGCGACGATGACGACGACGGTGACGAGTTCAAATCTCGTTTTGAGAGGATAGCCCCACTTGGAGTTCTCTTTCCGCTGCACGTGTGTACCTTCACGAAAAGCCTTATGAAATATTTTTGTATGTCGAGGGTTTTGTCTCTGTGGCGGGAGGAAGACTCTAAATTTTGTTTTTCAATTAAGCGAGCGATGTTCCCTAGCCGATAACTCATCATGATGTAATAATATTATAACGTTTATTCTCCAATGCGAATGCTATAAGCATCTCCATACCATTTTGCAGATTATCATTGCATTATTGGTCATATCATTTATATCATTATTATTTCACTTACAATCGTTGATTTAAAAAATAACACTAAAAATGATTGTTGGCGTTTACAGACGATAGACATATGTATAAATGCTGCATATATAATACTATAAAGTAACAAAGCATGAAATTATTAGCAGAAAAATAAAAAAGCTTGTTCACAGATATTACACAGCAAGTCCAACTGACATTTAGGGGAAGGATTCTTGAAGGGCACCTTACCTCTATTTGTTGCTTAGCTTCAGCACATGGCCTAGTTAAGGGTCGGTGTTAAACTCGTCAGCTTTCAACGGAATAACATAATAATAATAAAGAGTATGCGTAATGGTAAATCGTATAATATGTACAACTCTGTGTGAGGCAAAAAACTCTATTTTTAAACCTTATAACGGTTAAAATATTATAAATTCATACATGACTAAAAATTCATGAATCTCATTAAATGTGCATTTATTGAATTGTTCACTACCCGTTTGGGTCAGTACAATAATAATTAAAACATTTTTTTTATAACTTATACAAATAAAGCTAAAAAAAAACATTGATAATTATTGTATTATTATCCATTGATAGTAAAATCTTTTTTCATGCACCTAACACCAAAGGTGGGCAAGTTAATGAAAATAATTAACTCAAGTTAAGTTAAGTTAAGAGGACACAAGATCGATAGGTTAAAAGTTAACAGTTAACAAATTATAAACCTAACTCGATAAGTTAAAAGTTAATATAGAAAAAAAATTAACTTAACTCAGTTTAAAAAAAGTTAATCTATTTTTTTTTTAAGTAAAACACATAAAGAGTGAATGTGTCTTTCTAGTTCCCAATTTATAAATTATAAATCAATTTGATTTAACTTTTATCATAATGTGCACTGTATACCCTTTTACTTTTTTAATATTTATTAAATTAAACTATAAAATAAATATATTAATATACACAAAATTATGTCATCAAGAAAAAGTACAGAAATGTTTGTGTTATTATAGTATTGGATTATTTTAATTTTATACTGATACATTAATATTTACGTATAAACAAAAAATTTCAAAATGTTTTTAACTTATTGGTTTTTTTTTTAAATCAACTGAGAATAGCTAAGTTTTTTCAACTGTAAATTAAACTAGTTAAGTTCATAAGTTAATTGGAAAACAAACTAACTAGTTAAGTTATAAAGTTAAAAAAAAAAACTTTTTAACT